TGCTGAGTCGGGATGGGGCTTGACGGTAATGAGTTTGGGGATCATTATGATCTGGAACCCTGGTGACACGGCGGGTTAGAAATTGGGCTGATGACCACAAGGTCAATGGTTCAAACCCAACAGCCCCTCCAAGGGAGACAGATGAGGGGTCCTATGAACAGCCTTGGGGTTCTACTCTGGCCTGTAGGGTCTTGATGGGTCAGAATCAACGCGGCAGCAGTGAGCTGAGTTGATTGCTATTATTTCAGGAGCCCTCATGGTGCTGTGGGTTAGGCACTGGGTGGCTAAATGTAAGGTTGTTGGATCAACTCCCCCGCTCACTCCTTGGAAGACAGGAGAGTATCCACTCCTGAGAAGATGTACAGACTCAGAAACCCCTATAGAGAGTCACTATGAGTTAGAATCAACTCGATAGCAATGGGGTTGGGTGGGCTTTTGGTTTTAATCAGTATCATCAAAATGCCTGAGTGGTGCAAAAGGTTAGACTCCCTGATAGGTTGGAGGTTCAAGTCCACAAAGAGGAACCAAAGAAGAGCGTTTGTTTGGGCCATCTCTTTGGAAAAATCAGCCACTGACAGCGCTCCGGCGCCCAGTTCTCCTCTGGTACACATGGCTTGCAGGAGTTGTCGATGACTCAACGCCCCCTGACTGTCATTACTATTATGAGTGTATTGGCACTGTATTCACTGTAGGAGCTCATGATGGTCCAAGTGGAAAGTGGAAATAGTGAGGAGAGAGATGAGCAACCCAATTCAAGGGCCAAATTAATAAAACCTGGACTCTGGGTGTGGGGTCTGGGGAGCAGGCAGAAGCACACCCAAGAATAACAGTGCTCTCTGTGACTTCCATGCTCAAGTTCCCATTACAGCCTCACCCCACGCATGAGCCGTGGGCATCAGAGCCCATTTCACAGATTTGGAAGCGGAGGCTTAGAGAAGTTAGGTAACTGGCTCCGGGAAGACAGAAGGGTTGATGGGTGTTTTGCTCACCACTGTATCTCTAGCTTCAAATGCATGTGAGAGTTAGATATTCAATAAGAAGACCGAAGAAGAACGGAGGCAGTTGGATTGTGATGCTGGAGAAAAATATCAAGAGTATCCTGGACCGCTAAAAGGACAACCTGGTCTGTTTTCAGCGAAGTACGGCCCGAGTGCTCATTCCAGGCAAGGATGCCTCGTACACACTTTGGACATGTTGTCGGGAGAGATCAATTCCTGGAGTGGGACATTCTGCTTGGTAAAGTAGAGGGGCAGTGTCGAAGAGGAAAGCCCTGGCTGCTGGAGCATGGGGACGCGTGTGAGGACGGCGCAGGACCGGGCAGTGACTCGTTCTGCTGGGCATAAGGTCACTATGGGTCAGAACTGACTGATGACACACAACGTCAACCTATCTCTAGCCCTGTTCCGAGCATCCTCCTGACCCACAGAGTCAGGCCTCAATACACAGTCACTGGTGAATGAGTGGATGAGGTCACTGGGTTCTCACTCGCTTGTTCGGGAGCGCAGCAGAGAGGAAACAAAGAGGAACGTAAAGCCTAGCAGCTTCCTAGGTTGTGTGTACATTTCCCCACCTAAAGCATGAGGCCGTCCTGGAAGGACGGGCACACTGGCACACGTCCTCCCACCAGAAACAAGCCTGTGCTGTACCAAATCACCGAGATTCGGGGGTGTTTGTTACACAGCATGACCTAGGTTAGCCTGGCCTGTTACCCGATGGTTCCCAAACCAGGCAGAAAATAAAAATCACCAGAGGTCATTGCTGCAAACCCAGATCCCTGGGTCTCAACCTAGATCTACCGAATGAGAATTTCCAAGGGCAGCGGCCTGGGGACTCTATTACTCCAGCTTCAAGAAGATTAGAGAAGAGTCCAGCTGCTAGACTCTGAGGGGAAACTGGGATGTAGGCTTGGGATATGAGCGAGCAGAGTGTTCTGGGCCTGAAGTGTCTGGGGACTGCAACCAGAGTGGAGACCAGGTAGTGGCATGACGGAACATGGAAAGCCAGGTTGGGAGGTCAGGCTTGTACCCTCTGAGCAGCGGTAGGAACCAGGGGGTGGTCTGAGCAGAGGCTCGTCTTCTCACGGTTTAGGAAGACCACTCAGCCAGGGGAGCTGGCACATAGTCAAGGAAACTCACTTCATGGGGTTACTGGGTTGACGTTTAAGTGTCCCTAGACGTGATGAGCTCAAAATCACTGAGCAAAGAAAGGGCTTCCCATCGTCTCCTCCTGTGCACTTGCCTCCTTTGGAGCCGCAGCTTAGCTAAGACCCAGTAAGCCCACATCATGTGATGAAACACAATAGCATCACCTTCATAATGGGATCGAGGGAGCTCTTTTGGCATCATGATTACACATTGGGCTGCTAACCACGAGGTCGGCAGTTTGAAACCACCAGCCGCTCCAAAGGAGAAAGACAAGCTTTCTACTCCTGGAAAGAGTTATAGTTTCAGAAACCCACAGGGTCAGTTCTGCCCTGTCCTCTGGGGGCGCTATGAGTCAGAATTGACTCAGTGGCTGTGAGTACGGCTTTTGGTCTATAATGGGATCTGCTGTGAACAGCCGAACAGTTGTAAGAAGATCAGGATGGGATGTGAGTCCCTAACTCAAATCACAGCCCTGTTCCAATCAACTGAAAGGAAGTTTGCTCAGGGCTGTTTTGGGGAGACACTCACACTGGTGGCTAGAGAGGAAGACAGACATGAAGGATGGGAAGACCAGGGAGGAGAATGTTCTGGTGGTCCAGGTGGACATCACTGGGGCCCTGCAAGCCTCAGGTGGCCGGGGTGGCAGGGACCCAGGACACGGTTCTGAATTTGGTAGCTGAGGGGCTGGAGTGGTCCTCAACCTGTGGGTCGCGACCCCTCTGGGGGTTGAATGACCCTTTCACAGGGGTCTCCCGATTCATCACAGTAGCAAAATGACAGTGATGAAGTAGCAACGCAAATCATGTTATGGTTGGGGGTCACCTCCACATGAGGAGCTGCATGAAAGGGTCGCGGCCTCAGGAGGGTGGAGCACCGCTGGGCTACAGCGTGAGGCCGTGAGAACGGACTTCACAATTGCAGGATGTAGGACGAGCGGCGGCTGGAGCGTGCTTCACCCCGTGAACTTGGGTCTGTGACGTAATGCCGCTGCCCTCAGTTTCCTGATCGGTACCCTGGGGATAAGAGCGATAGCTATGAGGAGGTGGGAAGCATTATGGGAGCGCCTTGGCACGGCACCGGGGGCATGGCCAGTGCTCAGAGTGGGGCAGCATGATGACCGTAGGAGGGGGTGCGAAGGACCACTTCTGTTGTTAGCCTGGATGAAGAGGCCATCTCCGTCTGGGTGGGAGCACACAGCCGGCAGCAGTTTGAGGGGGGAGGCCAAGGTCCTCAGCAAAGCCCTGCCCGGCTCCTGACCGCAGACACCAACCAGCTCCTGACAGCATCTCTTTATCTTTGTCCTGTCAGCCCCCCTCCCACCCCCACCCCCAGCAGGCCTGGCCTTTGAGGAGTTGAGGTCTGGCTTCTGGGTCTAGATGGCCAGGAGAGCTGAACTGCAGGACCACCAGAGTGGAACCCTGGCTGTGAGCAGGTAGTGGAAGAGGAGAGCCCGGGTGGGGCCCAGGCTACCTTGATGTTGAAGGATTGTGTTAGGAGGCTGAGAAACCGAGATACAGAGTTGTGGGGGCTGCGGCTGTGTGTGTGTGTGTGTGTGTGTGTGTGCGTGTGTGATTTCAAGAAGAGTGATCTTCAGGGTCAAATGTCACCAAGAGGTTATGAGGGTGAGACCTGAGAGCCGGTGGGTGAATCTGGCCTCAGGGAGATCATGTAGGTTGGCAAGGGTAGAGTTAAGGCCCATGGGGCAAAACCCCACTGTAGGGGCTGGGGGGTGGGTGTTGATGCGATCTGATGGGAAGATGAGTGGGGAGCCTTGGGTGACGTGTGTGTGTGTGTGTGTGTGTGTGTGTGTGTGTGCAGGGAAATGGGGCTCCGAGGTGTACCAAATCCCCTCCCTAGCAGAACAGAATTCTCCTTTCCACAGTCAGAGCCGGCTCCAGAGGAGGAGGGAGGAGCTCCTGCTCGGTGGTGAGCACCCTGCGCCCGGAGGCAGACAAGTCAGTCGCGTGGTGGGTCCTACCACTGCAGGGACGCTCACGGGTGGAGGTGGAGTGAGGACCAGGCTGCGCAGTGCAAAGCAAACTCGTGGACCTTCTCGGCCTCCTAAAAGCCGTGCAGGGGGTCGCCTGGCCAGTCAGTGTCCAAAGAGCCTCCCCTCCCGCGGGGGCACGCGCGCGCGCACGCACACACACACACACACACAGAGGTGGTCGTGCGCAGGCTCACACACATACACAGGAGCACAAAACAGCACCCCTGTCTCTCGGTGGGAGGGCGCCCGCCGCCCCTCTCCCGTTACTCCCG